TTCATAGGTCCGCACCCTGGATCTGAACCTGCGAGCCCTCGGCTGTCAAAGCAGAGCACGTGGACTCAACCGCTACACCAGCAGGCAGGCCCCTAGACTTGATTTTGATACTTCAATTTTGGAAAAAAGAATCTTAGATCCCTATTCTTAAATAAGGTAGGAAATGGCCAAGAGAAACTGTTTTCCTTTATTAGCTACTTGTGATGGTTAATTTTAGGTGTCAACTCGACTGGGTCACAGGATGCCCAGATTAGATGTTATGTCTGAGCGTGTCTGTGAGACTGTTTTTGGATGAGATTAGCCTTTGAATCAATGGATTCAGTAAATTGCTCTCTCCAGTGTGGGTGGGTATCATCCAATCTATTGAGGGCCTGAATAGAACAAAGGTGGAGAAAGGAGGAAGTAGTCCCTTTTTTCCTGCCTCACTGTGTGAGCTGAGACATCTCATCTTCTCCTCCTCTCGGCCTGAGATTTACACCATCAGCTCCCTGGTTCTCAGGCCCCTGGTGGGACTGAATTACGCCACCAGCTTCCCTGACTCTCCATCTTGCAGACAGCAGATTGCGGGACTTCTCAGCTTCCATAATCACATGAGCCAAATCCTCATAATAAATAAAAATATATATTATATTCTATATGGAGATATAGATCTCCCTATATATATCAATCTCCATATAGTATATCATACATATATACATACACATATAAAAATATATTCTAGTGGTTCTGTTTCTCTGGAGTACCCCGACTAATACGTTACTCATATGCTCGTTCATATGCTTGCTGTCATAGCTGAGATTATCGATCCAAAATGTTTTAGGTTTGCTGCACACTTATCTGTACGATTTTTTTTTTAAGGAGCTTACTCTTCCTGATTACAAAAGCAATGCATGCCTTCTGTAGGGAGTCTAGAAAATGCTGAAAAATTTAGAAGAAAATGAAAATTCCCTAAGATCCCATCACCCCAACTGCCATGAGCCCTTCCTTCTTCCAGTTCCTATTTTCCTCATAGTCTGTTCCACTGTATTCGCACCAACAGCATAAAGGGCACGAAGATAGAGGTTGATACAAAAAGGAATCAGGAGGTGCCCCTGGGGACCGAGGGGGACATCCATGTGGAACTTTCCAGTGGGCAGTTGGAAATGCGGTTGTAAACCAGGAGATATTTCAGATCCCTAAGGGGGAGGGGGAGGGATCACAGAGGTGTTAGGTGAAATCTCAGGGAGGGGAGAAGGCTGGCCAGAGAAGGAAAGCAGACCATGGAGAAAGGAGGAGCCTTGCACAATACAGTATATACTCGCTCCAGAAAGCACACGGGATAAATCATTAGAAAGAACTGATTTTCTCTTGGATTCTTATCCATAAATGTTTTCTTGGCCCTTTACAAGTGAGATGCTTTCTCTCTGTATTCTCACCACCTGTGGACTGTAGCCAGCATTCCTTTCAAGAGAATGAGTTGACATGCAAGGGGCACAGAATTAGCCAGACTATTACCTCCTGAATGCCATGTTTTCTTTTCTCTGAATATTGATTTCATCCACTCTTTTTACAAACACGAATTTATTTGGAATGACTTTTCAGAACTGTCTACTTTCACACCCACATTAATAATAAATGAATCGGTTTAAATCTATGTTCCTTGGGAGAAGGTAAGTTTGCAAGTGGAAAACCCGTCTTGCTGATTTTTATCAGTAGCATGTATTTATGATCCTCCAGCTATCTTTTTTATAGGTTACATTCCTACCTCTTCAACATCTGCTCACAAAGGACAGCCCTCATGAATTTTTGTCGCTTCCCCCAAATTTCCTATTGGAAGATTTGGCTTCTGGAGAGATAGAGATGGAAGTCCAGCAGTAGCTGTGCAAATGGCTGCCACATGTCCCAGAGCAGACACAGATGGCACTGTCTTCAGAACAGAAAAATGGTAGAAAATGCCGCCAAGGCACCCAAAGTCTGGCTGATAACACATACTCCTCCAAACAACTTGTTTAAAAGACCTCCCAAACACTAGCAACACAAAACCAAACAACACTATCCAGAAAAAGCATCCTAAATCTAGTCATCCACCTCAAACATAAAGATCTTGGCAGTCAAGTCTCGTTCTCTGTGCACTCAAATCTCAATAAGATGGTATACACATAATGTTCTCTTTTGGGTCATCCTTCCCTCAACTCAACAGCCAGTATAGAGCCCAATGGCTATCATGCATTGAGTTCCAAACACAGCACGTCTGAAGTTGAACTCACCACCGGAATTCCCCAAGCCTCTTTCCCACCCCAGGTTAAGTTTCAGCCTTCCTTAGCCAAACCCATTTCCCTGACTCACAGTTTGAAAGAAGACAGCTTGCATGAATTGGGGGAGGGGAATCTCATCAGCCTTTGTGGGCCCATTTTTAAGTTCTGCCACTGTTCACAGAAAGAGAGAGAGAGGGTGGGGGGCACATTGTGTGGGAGTAATGCAGACTTTCTTTTTCCAGATAACAGCAATACAAGGTAACAAGTGCGACAGCAGGGTCCTAGAAGCATATGATGGAAGATATTGAGTCTGGCTGGGAGGAAAGAGGGCGTGCTTTTCAGTACAGCGCCTGGCACAAAGTAGGTGCTTGATAGGTGATTAATGAATGAAAAGGGGCGATGTCTGAACATCAACCAGCTGCTAAATGGGCCCACGTGGAGAACAGGGAGCGTTTTATTTGAAGCAAAGGCCCAGCTCTGTCCATTCTGACGTGTCCAGGGAATGACATACTTGACAGCCTTCGCAGTAGGCTGGAAGTACAGTGTGGGGATCCTGGACAGTATTTGGTAAACAATGAATATCCAGAAAAGCCAAAGGGCAAGACAGATTTACTAAAAACTGCATTTTCTAATGCAATGTTGGTGCTCCTATGGACGACAACTCTTACAGAAGCGAAATGGGTTTAAAAAACATAATGGTTGCTGAGCCGAGAAATAAAAAGGTAGTGATATGAAGTAGATGATGGCGGGCCTGAAAAGAATATTTGAGATCTATCTTGTTGTTCCTTCAACAAAAAATAGTTTCTCAATCTTAAAAGAAACAAGTACACTCTCCTTCATCCTGCAGCTTTTTCGTGATGCCCTCACAACTTGCCTTCAGAGCCAAGTTTCTGTAAAATATCTCCTGCCGCCTTCCCTCTTGAGTGCACACCAGTTTGGCTTCTGCCCTCACCATCCCTGCCAACATTCCTGCTGAGGTCGTAGTTGCTATCAGGTACTTTCCACTCCTTATCTTGCTGACTTCCACCTTCAGCACTGGACAGGGCTGACTCCTTCTCCCATCTCTGCCTCTTTACTCCGACTGCTTACACGTTACACACCTGCCTTCCCAGGCTTGTTTCCCGCGTCTATTTCAGCTCCTCCCACCACTAGCTGTGCACTAATGACTCCCAGATCTCTCCCTCCTCTCAGCCATCTCTCCTGACTCCACACGTGTTTACCCAACTGCCTCCTAGACATCTTCACTTATTTGCCCCAGGGGCAGCTCTAACTCCACAGGCACCAGAAGGAAACCATCTGGCCTTGGGCACATTAGTTAACTGAATTGGGCCTCACTTCCTCAACTATAAAACAGGGGCATTACTAATAGCCACCTCATACAGAAGCCTTTTAAGATTACATGAAATAACACAGAATAGCATGTCGGATAGACCGTGGCACATGGTAAACGATACACAAGTGTTAGCCATTATTCTGCTTTTACTCAAATTGATTCCTTCCTCCCCATATATTCCCTAAATTGACTTATAAACCCACCATGCACACTGTTTATTAAGCCAGAACCTTGAGCATCCTCCTTGACACCTCCCTCTTCCTTAACTTCATAGTCGTCTCCTTCTCCACTCCATTCCCTTAAGACCACAGCATCCCCTAGGACTAGGGCCATTCTTTCCCTGACTCCACTCTTGCTACTCTACACCTTTTGGCTCCCCAGTGCCGTGAGGACAAATTCCAACCTCCTTGCAAGGACACAGAGACTTTTCAGGACCTGGTCTCAGCCACCCCCTCTCAGTCCACCTCACTCCCTCAGCTCTAGCTGGTCCTCCTTGGGGGACGGTGACGTCACAGCTCTCATCAAGATCAGTCGGGAGGAAGCATCTTCAATCGCTGCTTCTTCTCCTTCCAGATGTAGCTTGGGTGCCACTTCCTCTGAAAAGCCTTCCTGGACTTCTAGTCCGATGAGTATCTTTCTTCTTTGTTCCCCAGGGTCGCTGCCCTAATAGTTACCACGCTTTAGTTATCTGCTCATTTGCCTGTCTCCCCACTAAACTGAGTTGTCTGCAGGCAGAAAAATCCTCTTTTATTTTAATATCCCCAGAACCCAGCACAGTGCCCGGCAGAGAGTAGGTACTCAAGGAAAGTGAATCAAGGCAAAGGGCTTCCACCAAAAAGAAACAACGTGGTTTGGGGAATCGACATCAAATACAGCGAATCCACTCCTCCCGCGGCACGAGGCTGCACAGGGGTTCCGTTAGGCCAGCGTGGATATCCAGCGCCCGGACGTCCTTCTCGGTGCTTCAGCTCGCGCAGAGTTAACCCGCACAATTAGAGCAGACACCGGGCGGCATCGGCGGAGGCTGCACGGGAGCCTGCAAATGCATGCCCAGCGGGCTGAGGTTAAGTCCTGCGCCTTTTGTTCCAGGCAGCGCAGAGCAAGCGGCTCCGTGCCCGCCCGCCCCGGCCGGGCGCTGGCCTGCGTGGGCAGCAGGGCACACACAAACGCACTCGGGCACCGCCGCGTCGGGCAGGGGCGCGCGTGTGCGCGGGCCTTCTCCCTGCCGGCCTCCGGGCGCCGGGATCCCGCGCTCTCCCGCGCCCCTGACCGGGACCCAGCCTCGCCGCCACGCCGCCTCCCGGGCCCGCGGCGGCCGCCGGCGGGAAAGCGCCAGGCGTCCCGGCGTCACGCGCCAGCAGCCGGGCGCGCGGCGCGCGGGGCGGGGCTGGGGCGGGGCCAGCGCGTGCGGGGCGGGGCGGGGCGGGGCTGGAGCCGGGCACAGGAAGCGCTGGGAGGCCCGAGCCGTCCCAGGGTGCCCCGCGCGGCGTGGACTCGGGCCGCTGCCGCCATCCCGCTGGCGAGAGGGAGAGAGAGGCCCGCCCGCTCGCCGGTCGGGCCAGTGTGGGCCAGTGCGTGAGGGCGCGGGGGGCCGTGTCAGCGAGACGCAGAGCGCAGCCGCCACCGCCAAACGGACATGTTGGAGCCCAGCGCCGCCGCCGCCTCTTTTCCCTCATCCTCCGCACGGGACTGAGAGGGGGCCCGCCAGCCCTCCGCCTCTGCCTCTGCCTCGGCCGCAGCCTCTTCCTGCCCGGCCTCGGGCTCCGCCGCGCGTCGCCTCCCCCCGCCCCTCAGGCCCGGCCGGTTCCCCGGCCCCGCTCCGCCGCGGCGCGAGGTCTATGTGAGCGGCGGGCCCGGGGCAGCCGCCGCCGCAGCGCGAACATGGACGCCGTCAACGCCTTCAACCAGGAGGTGAGGGGTGCTCGGGGCAGCGGGCGCCGGGCCTGCCGCGGGCGCCGGCCGCCGTTTCTCCCGCCGCCGGGAGGTTTGAAGCTTTGGTCGGGGTGGGGACGCTTCCTGCCCCGGTTCCGGGGCGGCGGGGCCTGCGCGCAGCGGCCTGGGGCCCTGGGGAGGCGGCGGCGGCCCCCGGCGCCGACCCCGCACCCCTCCCCCACCGCCCACCCCGGGCGCCGACCTCGAGCTGCCCCCCTCGCCCCCTGCCGGCCTCCCCAGCCCGCGGCGGCGCCGGCGCCTCGGACTTCGCCCGCTCTCGGGTCGGGGCAGCGCCGGTGCCGGCTTCGCGGGGCCGGGAGCCCGCAAGGGGCTAAGAAAGGAGCGCGGGCGGGCGGGCGGGGTTGGGGGCGGGGGAGCGGGAGCATCTGCCGGTCGCGGGGCTGGCGGAGCGGCGGTCCCGGCGCTCCTGTTGCTCAGGCCGCGGCGCGGCGGCCGCTGGACTCTGATCCCGGGGCGGGGAGGAGTTGGAGAGGTCCCAGCCCCCGGGGTTCGCCCACTCGGGCAGTGGGGTTCGTGAACGGAGAGGGATAGCTGCTTCCCAGACCGGGTCTCGGGCGCGACCCTCTCCGGGCTCGGCGGCCCCAACGTGACACTTAGAAAGTAGCCTGGGAGAGAAGAGTCTGCCCCGCCGTGGTCCGCTAGAAAGCCGGCCGTGGCCGCCAGTCCCCCACCCTCGCGCCCCTTCCGCACTAGTTAATCCTCGACTCCCTTCCACGGGCACATTTACATGTGAAAACCTCCCAAAACCGGGAACAAAGCTGCCTGCCGCCTTAAAGCTCTCTAGTTTGGTTCCAGGTGCCGGTCTTGGAGCGCGGAGTCCACACTTCCCATTTATCAGAATCGATTTGGGGGGAGGGAACTTGACCACTGACGATTTAAAATGTAGTTGCAGGATGGAAACTGTTGTCACGTGTTGGGCTGGATTATGATCCTTTTCCAAATACTAAAAGATCAACCCAGCGCTGAAAAAAAAAATCAGACGTAGTCGTGTTCCATGTCTTGGTACGGCGTGAAAACTTGCCGCATCTCGCAATGAGATTTTGAAGTTTCGCTTGTAGCAGAATTGGGGTGCGATAACTTTCCTTTCGATTCGCGGTGCCGTGATCTGGAACCGTCCAGTAACACTGCAGTTAGGACCGTTTATTGCATTACAAATTATCCTAAAAGACTACTTGTCTTCAAGGGATGGGTCCATAAAATGGTTTAACTGCAGTAGTTGCAACCGGTGTTGGACAGTGCCTTGCAAAGTTCAGTAGTGGTGATTTTCAAAATAATGAAATAATATTTCCTCATTTTTGATGGCTAGAGAGTTTGTGATAATGCTCCAAAGATTTCCAGCTGGAAGATGACTTTGTTTCCTGAAGGTAAAATATACTGGAATGTTGGCTCCACGAGGGCGGGGAGTTTCTCTTCTTTCCCTCCTCCGCCCCCCAAAGCAGGTGCTTGGCAAATACTTGTTGGAATGAATGAGAATTTATACAAATGGTGCAACAACTTTTTAAAGATTATAGGTACATTTCTTTCTCGAGGTAAAAACTTGTTGAATATTTTTAATAGCAATTTTTAATGAATGAGGAGGAAGATTTTTACTGTTTTCTTAAGATCAGAAGTATTTAATTCTGATTTAGGCATTATGGAAGCTGACATTAAACACATTAAGGAAAGTATCTCATATCGATTCTGGAAAAGTGTGATCAGTAATTTTTTCTTTGAAAAATCAGAGTTAGGAATGACATTGACTCCTTGAAAGGAGAAAATGGTATTTTAACTTTTTTAAATGTACAAAATGAGAATTTTCTTATCATTGCTCATTTTCCTCCTTAAATAATTTTCATTTCCGTTGCTAGTCTTTATCAACTGCAAATTGCATTATGTTAGGTGTATGTTACCAGTTCCCACTCTCTTCTACTAAACTTTATTCTGAAGAAATTTTCTTCTGGAGAAATTAGTCTAACTTTAAAATCTGTCTTCTTGTTCCTGCTTGATTTGTAGCGCATCTCAGTTATTTCTCCCCATTCATGAAATGTTGTTAAGTTCCCTGTAACCTGAAATCTCCCGAATCTTATCTTTATTTTACAAACTTCTGAGTGTCTGCTCAGCTGCAAAACTGTGTTCTGAATATTGTGGTACTACCAAGGATCTCTACCCGCTAGGAGCCTAAATAATAGAGGACACAGACTTAGGCAAATAACTTTATTATGTGATAAAAACAGCTTCCTTTGGGGCCCTTATAAAGTGCTGTGGGATGGCCATGGGGGAATCATTGAAGATTTGGGAAGAGAAGAAGGTATCAGGTTTCAGGATTTCAGAAGGTGTAGGAAACAGTGTTTAAAGGGCAGCAGTACTGAGGAATAAGTGAACAGTAGTTTGACCCTGGAGGCTGCTGGAAAGTAAGGATGGTTGAGTAGTTTGGAGCCTGACAAGTTTCGTGTGTATCAGATGTGTTTGAATTCCATTGTTAGGCTATGGATAAACAGAAGGTTTTAAGTAGTGGAGTGATAACAAAATGCTGCTTGATTTGTAGTATGTATTGTAGAAGGCAGCGATTTGGGGAAGATTGACGGGTTAGGGACTGAGGTAGGAGAAGCAAGTAGAATCTGGACTTGGCATGGCCGGATAGAGGGAATGGAGAGGAGGAGAAGGATGTGGGCCAGAAGAATCCAGGGACCCTGGCATCTGATAGGCTTTAAAAGCACCCTTCGCCCCCACAGTCTGAGTGCAGGGAGAGTGGTGATGCCATTCACACAAGTCAGGCAGTCATCAAAAGCATATTTAGTGGAGGGGAAAATATGGTTGGTTTTTGAACAGGTTGAATTTGAGTGTGAGTGAAACAGTCTTGTGGAAGTTTTTGACAAGCAGTTGGTCACCTAGGACTCAAACTTCGAGGCAGCCGAGAGATAGAAGGAGACATCTGGGAGTCGCTCTCAGATGTGCCCTGGAGAAAACAGAGAGAGAGAAAGAAAAGGAATTAACATTTAGTTAACATCTCTGTCATGTTGGGTACTTTATATATGCATATCTAATTTAATATTCCCACAACCTTGGGTAGACAGCTGTTTATAAATGAGGAAACTGATTTTCAAAGAAGTTAAGTGAGAATTCGCCCAAGGGCACACTGCTAGCTAATGGCAGAGCTGGGATTTGAATGCAGATCTCCCCATCCTGACTGCCGCCCGAAGATGCTTTGTATGATACCAGAGGAGTGGTCTGGTTAAGACTTAAGACAAAGGCCACTAAAATGTTTGAGGGTGAGGGGATCTGAAGTTTAAGGTTGAATGGTGAGAGGGGAGATAAGGAAATAAGAGGTAGCAAATGTAAAGTAGTTGTTTTTGCAAGTATAGTTGTGAGGGATTCAAGGGAAAAGTTGCTTCAAGCAGGAAGGGAAGGGAAAGCTAAGTCTGGTGCTAAGTTCTGCGTTATGTTGTATAGTATGTATATAAGGTCTTAGTAAGTGGTGTTCAAGCCCTGGTCTCAGTTAGATGGGAGTAGAAACTTGAGCATGTTGAGGGTGGAGGTATAGAAAAGCATAGTTTCAGGCAGCAAGAGGGATTAGTTAACTTAAAGCAAAATTGTGGATAAGAGGAAAGGGACAGATCGGAAGCACAGGGAAAGGAGGTCAATCTCTCTGATACAGAAAGGAAGGAAGATTAAAAAAAGTGGAGTTGTTAAAGACACCCATTTAATAGAGGACTTTTATGGCAAGACACTGTGTTAAGTGTTGTAAAAGATGAAAGATGAGTGAAAAATATCAGTGATCAAGTGTTCTGTGTTTATACACTTTAATGTGGAGAGTTTGGTATTTCTCATAAGTTTGTTGAATGAATAAAGATTATAGATTGGATTATTTAAATCCATTGATTGCATTTTTAACCTTTAATCAATCTTCTCTAAATCCAGAAGAATCTCTCTTCCCCCTTCACTTTTTTTTTGCAACATGTCTGATTTTTAAGATGTTTAAAGTACAAAAAGAGTGCAAAGAAAATATAACAAGAACTGACAGTTGTTACGATGTTAAGCATTTTTAATTTAAAAATAAAATATTATAAAGTTAAAGTCCTCGTTTCTCCCATCCCAAGTCCCATTCCCCCAGTCAGAGGCAATCAGATAATAATTTAGTATCAATCTCTATGATCCATAAACGATATGTAATATTCTGTGTTTTGATATACATGAGTGGTATGTTGTACATATTCTGTAATGTGTTTTTTTGCTCAAACGTTGTTAGTACCATATATTAAGTTCTAACTGCTGTGTAGTGTGCCATTGTGTGACTAAACCATATTTTATTTATCTGGTTCCCTGGTTGATGAACACTTAAGTTGTTTCTCATTTTTTGATGACAAACACTGCAGTGAACTTTCTCAAACATGTCTCCTTGTGTAAGGACTGCTGTTCTCTAACTTTTTGGATTTTGACTCCTTTAAATTCTTAAAAGTTAAGGACCACAGAGAGCGCACTTCCCTCTCTCCCTCCCCCTCCCTCTCTTTTTTGGTGAGGAAGATTGGCCCTGAGCTAACATCTGTTGCCAATCTTCCTCTTTTTGCTTGAGGAAGATTGTAGCTGAGCCAACATCCATTCCAGTCTTCCTCTATTTTGTGTGGGATGTGGCTTCACAAGCGGAAGTCTGCACCCAGGATCCAAACCCTTGAACCCCAGGCTGCTGAAGCGAAGTGCACAAACTTAACCACTACACCACCAGGCTGGCCCCCACAGAGAGCTTTTTTATCCTTGGGTTATATCTGTTGATATTTACCATATTGGAAATTTAAACTGAGAAATGCACTTATTAAAAAGAATAAGCCCATTACATGTTAACATAAATAACATTTTTAATTCGAAATAACATTTCCAAAACAAAACAAATTTGTGGGAAGTGACATTATTTTACATTTTTCAAATCTCGTTTAAACTTTGGTTTAATAAAACCTAGATTCTCCTATCTAATTCTTCATTCAGTG